AACTTTTTTATCATTACAAGATAAATTTTGTTCACTGTTGAATGTGCTTAAGATAATAGTGATGCATTTTCAAGTCCCTTCATCTTAATATGGTACCTTGTTTATAGCTCAGTTTTCGGTCGAGTTTATGGAATTCTACGCCATCTCCGTGGAGTAAGCTAAATATATATAAAAAAATAGCTTCATACACAAGAAACTTTGAGGAGTAAATTCGACAATTTGCCCTCAGAATTTACAGGTTGCCTTATACCACCGGAACCAAAAGATAAAGAAGGAATCACAAGTTAATACAATCAATTGCAACAACCCAAACCGCCACTCCCTATGGGTAATCAATTGTTCACGAGAATTGCTGGATTCAGATCGTTTCTTTTGCATACTTTTTTGGGGAATATTTTTAGCATTTGATTTCAAAATCTCAGGCTAATGGCTTTATGTAAAGGACTTGAGAGTAAAGGTGCTGCAAGCGCGAGAGTTTTTTGGTGACGAAAATTACGTAGAAAGAAAATAAAACTTTCAAGCTGGATATCGAAAGAGATATGTACCACTGTTGGTGAGAATTTATACTTCACGTTATATTTAATTATTAAGTTGTTGCATTCTTTTTCAACATATTCAAAATGAATTAAGAACTTACCATTGTGATGCTTAAAGGATATGTAAGTTTAATTTACCTAACTAATATAAAAATCTATGCATGCTCGCGATTCAATAATAAAATTTTGTAGCTAGAAAAGTTTATATGGGTAAAGACATAGTCTTGGCTCTTTGCTGGCATGCTTGTTCTACATAAAAGATCATTTTGTACAATAGAGGTGAGGCTCTACTTTTGTAATTCCTCATTGTTGGTTCATTAGACATAAGTGCATGCATGGAGTTGTGTCTCTTTATTTCCAAAGTTATGAGGTTCCTTGAAGTTGCTTTGCTGCTGGAAAATCTCTTTGTTTTGTCAAAACAACTGAATGCAACTTTTTGTTTTGTATTTTTCGAGTAACAGGTACCATAGACCACAAAAACAAAGATTTTGTAATGATTTAGCTGCTGCAATCTCTATTAGTTTGTGCTGTAAATTTGCCGCAAATTTACAGTGTTTATTACGTGATTTATTATGTGAGGTAGTATACGGAGGGATTAATCAAAACCCATGTGCATGAAAGAATGAGATGCACACAGTAGTTACTTTCTTGGTTAGCTTCATTTGTCAGTGTATCATTTCACCTCTCTACATGCTTATGTATTCTTTAATTGAAAATAATGTCTGGTCTTTCGATTGTAATTGGGTACAATCGAGAGAGCGGAATTTTTTATTTTTTATTTTTTAAATCTATCTACTTCATCGGTTACTCTTCTAAACCATTGGATTCCTTATCCAGTATAAACCAAACAAATTAGGGATGAGCGCCTTGCCATCACCCCGAAGTCTAATAAGGTAATTCTCTTCAATTTGGTATCTTGCGCTGTTGGTTACTTTTTTAGTTTCGAATTTTTTTTGGTTAATTTAGATTGACTTTCCTATGGTTGCAGGGTAAATTTAAAATATCAACTTACCCTCTGAGTTTTGAGTTTGATTGATGACTGAAAAATTATATGCTTCTGCAAATAAATTCATTGTCTTTATATTGTTTACAATACAACAGAATATTTTATTGCATATGTTCTAGAAGAAAAAAATGCATGATGTAAGAATTTCTAAATATGATTTTCTTGATAAATAAAATTCTTATATTAGTCGGGTTAACTTTTATGTCGAGGGGTTGATAAGTTCTCTAAAGTTATAATGGTATGTGGATTTTGGATTTGCTAATTCTATAGATATTGATTAAAAGGAACACATTTTTTGTTATTAGGATAAATGTTTACACGCACAAAATATTTTTCATATGTCAGAAGATTAAAATAATAGAATTTTAATAACATAATTCAGTCTTCACAAAATCGGTATCAGAATTCATACAGTTCATGGTCAATTTGTCAGGTAGTACACATACCTCATTACCTAGAGAAATTTAAGAATACACGCCATTAGACGGTCCTTCATACAAAATAAAATAAAAAACAATATCATCTTCATATTTTACAGAATTTATAATTCTCAAACAATCAAGACACGAGACTACCAAAATAATTTAGCACGCACGATGTCACAACGTTACATGTTTTTCGAGACTACCAAAATTATAATATATTAAGTCAATTTGCATAATGGAAACGTTAATTTTACACCATTTTCCGTATTTTGAATTGGTTATGTTATTGCTGTCTCTTTTTTCATATCTACAATGAGTGCATTTGCAGTACAGTGCACCAGGTATTGAGCCTAAATGTTGTATTTTACTGCCAATTTTTTTTACACACTTCTCTACTCCTTTGCATTAGGGACATATGTAGCAAAATAGTGAGCATAACAGTTAAGATGTAATAATGCAAATTATATTATCTCAAGCACATATGTCCAAAAATTTAACCTACAGTTTCTTGACAGGTTACATTTATTTATACAGTTTTGTTGTGAAGTCAACAATTGACTCTATAGTGGAGCCAACATTCTGTATACAACAAGTAAATCATATTATATTAATAAAATTATTAGTATTTATTTAAGTAATCATAGATTAGGGTATGATTTTTACTTGTTGTATATAGAAAGTTGACTCTAATATGGAGCAATCTATTGGCTTCATACCAAAACTGATAATGCCATTTTATGCTGTGGTTAACATAAATTTGATACAAATTGGTACATGTTTGTGTAAATGGATCTAAAATAAGAAAAAAAAAA